TTGCTTCTTGATGTCAAATGAGAGAGCAGTATATTCTAAAATTCTTAGATGATCAATTTTTAAAAAAATATTTTTAATTGTTTTTTTTTTTATAGGGAGGAAGGGAGAAGGATAGAGAGTTAGAAACATTTATGAGAGAGAAACATCAATCAGCTGCCTCTTGCACACCCCCTACTGGGTATGTGCCTGCAGCCAAGGTACAATGCCCTTGACCAGAATCAAACCCGGGACCCTTGAGTCCACAGGTTGACGCTCCATTCATTGAGCCAAACCAGTCAGGGCAAATGACCGATTTTTAGTTGAGCCTAAACTGAATTGTGGAGTCTCAACTCAAGATGTAATGAGAAATGGTACAGTGAAAGACAGAACCGTATCTGGCCAGTACTATGGGCTTAACGTAGGAATATTTTCTAAGTTCCAGCACCTAGTCATGTAAACGTGGTAAACAGCGCGATGAGAAGCCATGTGAGATTGCAATGGATGAATGAAAAGCACTCTCCTCCTCTTCAAGAGCAGCTGTGTCTTTAAGGATAAATGGAACCGGTCTGAACGTGCCAAATTACAAGGGTTTTTCCTCCTTGAGGGGAGGAAATAGTGATATAAATCACCCTTCCAAGCAAGTATTTATCTTCTAAAAATAAATTTTGAGTTGGGAAGAATTATATACTAAGATTGCATGAAGAATGTACTTTTGACTAGATTATATTTTAGTTGTTTAAAGTGTAATCTTATCAAACTATTATCACTTCATCAAGAGACATACCGAAGACAAGTAAGATAATGGGTTAAATGTGGTCTAAACAGTGGGGTCTAAATCATGGTTTTAAACTTCAACGGGCTTATTCTATTCTGAAGCGATAAGGCACAGAATGAGCAGAACAAAAACAGATACATATTACAACACGTCTGTAAGTGATGAAGGAATCTAGTAGGATTTTATAGTTTAAGAGATGGCTTATGTTCTGATAGTTTAAGAGATAAATAGTCATAAAATTCAAGAACAAATTTCTCAAGGTCACTTGATATTAGTAAATGTTAGCAACCTGCCCCCCACACCTAAATCATAACCAAAACGTAAGGCATAGCTGTGAGTTAACACTTTGGTTTCTAAATGGGGGACCGTGCATTTGGTTGGCTACGTGATATTTAGGAAGTCCTTTAGTTGCTGAGCCTGATTTTCTTATCTGTAAAATAGATTTCTTTTTTTTTAATCTGCCTTGTTTACAGAGCTGTTACAGGGCTCCAATAAGACTGCATTTCCTTCTATCCTACAAAATACCGTATCTTTTTGTTAAGGGAGTTAGGTTTTGAAGTAATAGTCCCTCTAACTTAAATAAAGAGTTAGCAGAGAACAAACTACAATTACTAACAAGAGTAATCTGCCCCACTTTCGGGCATACATAAAAGTTATTAAATATGGTATTATTAAGCTTGTTATCATACATGCCTGTGATACTGCTACCGTTACAAAATCAGACCAGGGATTTCAGTTTGTCTCATTTTCCATTGTGCTACCCAGAATCTATAAGCAAAATTGTTTATTGTTTTTAAAACGCATTTTTGCATCACACAAATATCACTTTATCTCATTAGTCATAGACCAGGGCAATAAGAAGAAAATTCAGAGTACTGAGTACTTGATGCTGAAAGAAAGGGAGGGATTGCAGTAGAAATGGGGATAAAAGAGAGGATTGGATCGTGATGTCTCAAAGTGTGACAATAATATATCCAGGCCTTGCTCCAGACCCACTAACTCAATCTCTGGGGTACAGCGGGAATCTGCATTTCTAATAAGCCCCCGTGGGAACTCCTGTGTACCCTCAACTTGGAGACTACAGTGCTCTGGTGTATAAGCATAAGTGCCCCAGTGTTTTTTATTTATCGATTCAGAACTTCACCCTTCTCCCCATTTCTCTCAAGGATCTTTGCATCACACTCAGGGAATGTAAGGTCTTTTTATTTTAGACTCATCATTCCTAATGGCAGAGGGGAAGGAGAAGGGAAAGTAAGTCCAAGACGAACAGACAAAATTCAGGAAAGAATCACCCTTTAAAAGAAATGCTTACTTTCTGGTTCCTACCTCTTTCCCTCTGGACACTTGAGGTCAGAAACTTTTAACTATCAGGGACCAAATTTCCTCCTTTTGGGAGGAGGCTGGGCAGACTGGAGACAAGGCCCCCTCTCTGCCAGGCCTGCCTGAGGACAAAGAACCTCCAGCCGAATTAGGGTATTTATTTCCCTGGTTCAGTTAACCTTGAAGACAATTTGATAAGAAATAGGGATTGAGAGAGAAATATGGCACGAGCTGATTAATGATTTCAGTCAACAATGGAAGTGACCCCAAAAAGGTGGTGATCCTGTAGGATTATAATGAGGCTGAAAAAGTCCTAAAAGCTGGTGATGTCATAGCCACTGGTTCGTCACAGCGCAACATGTGACTCATGTGTCTGTGTGTGATGCTGGTGCAAACAAAACTACTGAGCAGCAAATCATATTAAAGGATAGAACATACACTTAGGTGCATTGCTTTTGATTAGATAACAAAAAGTGACGATGTTACTGGTTTATCGTTTACTATACTTTGGATCCTCATTTTAGAGTGCACAAAAATAGACGTGTTACGCCAGCATCAGCTTCGCACGTCTCGTGTTTATCCTGCTGCTTGATTACATCATTCCTCTTGTGCTTGATTTAATCTCGTGTTGTTTTATAAATTGAGCGGAGCCTAAGTGCACAGTGTTTATAGAGTCTACAGTAGTGCACAGTCATGTCCCAGGCCTTACTCACAGCTCACTCACGGACTCACCCAGAGCAACTCCTGGTTCTCCAATCATGGTAGGTACCCAGACAGGCGGACCATTATTTATCTTACATACATTTTTTCTATCCTTTTTCTACGTGTAGACGTTTATATACACAAATATCATTGTGTTGCGATTGCCTAAGATTTTCAGTAACATGCAATACAGGTTTGTAGCTTAGGAGCAATAGGCTACACCATACAGCCTAGGTGTGTAGTAGGCTAGACCAGTGGTAGGCAAACTCATTAATCAGCAGAACCAAATATCAAAAATACAACGATTAAAATTTCTTTTGAGAGCCAAATTTTTTAAACTTAAAGTTCTTCTAACGCCACTTCTTCAAAATAGACTCTCCCAGGCTGTGGTATTTTGTGTAAGAGCCACGTTCAAGAGGCCAAAGAGCCGCATGTGGCTTGCGAGCCGAAGTTTGCGGACCACGGGGCTAGCCCATTTAGGTTTGTGTAAGTGCACTCACTCTATGATGTTCACGTGCCAAAACTGCCTAACAATGAATTTCTCAGGATGTATCTGCTGTTAAGCAGCGCACGGCTGTATAAATAAGACTTTCTTTTTTACATGGTATGACAAATACAAAGTTTACTAAGTATTTGAAATACTGAATATATGTCCAACTCCATCCCTTCCCCTCAATTAATAATCCCTGCAGAAAATCAGGAGGATACTATTTGAAAACACACACACACACACACACACACACACACACACAAAACACTATTGGAATAAAAATGGTATCCAGGCCTGAGTTCACAAACTGGCAGGCTTGCAGGGTAATTTTGCCCGCAGAGAGATTTTGTTTAGTCTGCAAAGTGTTGCTGTTGTTTTTAATTTGAATTAGTTGCCAACTTTAAGAAAGGCAACCTGGAATTTTTACATAAAAATCCAAATTTCCAAATTCTCCTGGAAAAGTGCAAGGCTGTTAACAAGGTAATAATTGGCAAAGCTTGGTGGTGGCTGCTTCCTTCAGATGAGTTCTGTTTAAACGGAGGCCCACGACAGAGCCAGCCCCCAATCCATGCTCACCCCTTGGGCCCTATGTATCACTGGTGTTTGTGGCATTCGGCCTCACCAGGGGAATGAGCACTACCAGCCAAATGAGGTAGTAGTTCTTTATGGTGAGTTTCACAGCAAGGGGGTAAAGGGATTAGAATCAGAAAAGAGTGCTAATGTTTTTCTGCATCTCATTTAGAAATAAAGAAAGTGACCTCTGAGTAAACACGGGGAGGCATTTGGGTTGGACCAGGCCTGGGGGAGGTGCACTCATACATCCTCCCTCCTCTCCTGCCTCTCACCCTCTTACCCACCCAGTGCAGAGCAAGACAGACAGAAAGGAAACGCAATGGCCACCATCTTGCAGCCCTTGGTAAACATCACTGACAACTTGCCGCCTCCATTACCTCCTTATTCCAGAGAGACTTGAAATGAAAAACCTAGACCCCGACCCTCAGGTCCTACCCACCTCTCCCCCCAAGACACCCTACATAAAGGAAGGCCACAAGCAGCCAAAATTCTAGAACACAGCAGATGGCAGGCTGGGCAGGCCGGGGCCTAAGTTTCAGGTTTGCAGAGCAGGTTCCCTTAGCACGTTGGTTTGTTTGATGAATATGTGACTCTGGGCGAGTTCCTCCTGGTGTGTTAGCTTCCTTATTTGAAATGTAAAACCAGGAGGTTTCTATCTCAAAAGTAGGTAATTATAAATAAAGTCTTTCGTTCATCTCCTACTGCTAAAGTCTGTGAAAATCAGATGAGTAATAATGCCTCCTATCAGCAAGCTTCGCCAGTAGGTAAGTGTTAATAAAGGATGGATGGGTAGCATAAACCAAGGTTCAATTCTAGTATCCAGTAAGCTGCCCTGAGTGAGGGTCAGTGACAGTGTGTCCTGGGAAGTCACCCTTCCCCGAGCTCTGTAATGGGGGGGGACAGTAGTAATTATCTCCCCATTCCTGCTTCCAAAGGATGTGGTAATGCTTATAAACCACTTGGAATAATACCTCAGGAACAGGCCGACATGTAAACAGGTCACATTCATGTTATTATTAGTCTTACCTCACAAGACGCCACAGTGGAATGAGAACTTTATAGGCACCTGGTAAATATGACTAACGGGCTCCCGATCTCCCAGTGAGGAAAAGGGAAGGGGGGGGGATAGAGGCATCGAAGGAAGCCTGGATCGGCACCCACCTCTGTTCTGATGGATACTGGTTTTCAGGCATCATCTTTGGCATCTGCAGGGGCTGATGTGGTGGCCGGGGGACCGCGAAGGTTTGCTGCTGTGGTCCAGGGTCTGGAAGCGAATGGGGGGTGGGGGCCGGGCCCACCCCTTGCACGGGGCCCGCCGCAGCAGGGTGCACGGAGGTGGGCAGAGTCGCCTGAGGTGGGGGAAATAGGGGGTTCTGATGGGTGGGCGACAGGGGGGTGGTAGGAGGGGTTAATGGCTTGAACCCAGAGGGAGGCTTCCTATCGTAGGCACTGCAAACAGAAAAAGAGAAGGAACCAGTGAGCTACAATGAAGCCATTAGCTGGGTCCCCAGGTCCAAAGCAGAACGTTGCAGCCCTCGGTTGCCAGGAAATGACAGCATTAACATAGTTAAATTGCTGGCAGCCCTGAGGGAGTATTTGTACCTCTGAAAAGTGACAAACACACTGCGTCACAGGGACTATTTAACACTTCTAGTGATTCTTCTCAAAGATAATTTTAGCCTCTGCTTCCGGTTTCCTTTCTTTCCCCCCCCTTCCAACTGAGCTCTCCATGCATGTGTGTGTAAGGTGCCTGGATGGGGCAGAATTTGTGTGTCGGGAGGAGTGTCCCAGACCCTCTCCCAAGGATTCCAGGGTTCCCAGAAATGAGTCAGAATCTTTGTTGAAGACGAATTTCTGCTGCACCATCACTTGAATTAACAACTCTTGTCCTCCCCATCTCCAGTATATCTATGTTTATCTCCTAGAGCAAAGAATGATTTAAAAATAAAGCTTCGTTCCTGAGCCTGGATATTCTTAAGTAAAGGGCACAAGCATCAGGGCTTGTTCATATATTCTGATTTGAAGATTACCTCTTTGGTGCTTAAAGTTCACATTAACATATGATAGACACGAAGGAGTCTATATTCCCTCCCTCCAAGTCACAGATCAAATATTCCAGGATTCAAGGATTTTTCCCCTCAGAAGGGGCTCAGGACCCCAAGCACTGAGTCCTCTCACCACCCCAGCCAGGTGAACAGTTTTGCATTTCATGCTCAGCACAAAGAAAGGCCAGTTTGATGGCCTACACCTAGAGGATTACACTGCGGGAAAGATGGGGTGTGCCATCCTGAGTGCCTGCTGAATCATATTTGAAACAGAAAGCTGGAAGGGTACTTCCTGGCCAGCCTTCTCTGGCTCCACTTACCAATAGTTGTAGAGGCACTTTTCTCCATAGTTAGCACCGAGAGCCTGCTCATGGCTGCAGGATGACAGCTCGGAGGAGGGGCTGTGCAGCTCCCGTTTGATCTTGGTTGGAGGTGGGGCATGAAGCACCACTGAAAGGAGAAGAGGGAGGACAGCCGGTTAACAGGGAGCACAGTGCTTCCTTCTGCAAACCCTGAAATGAGCTGGTTGTTCTTGGAACTCATGTTAAGTCACATGCCAGAGAAAGCCAAGTGCTTAAATATAGAGTCTTCCATCTAAAACCACTGAAAAGTTCTTTAAACTCAAAAATGATCCATCATATGACACTTTTTAAAAAATTTATTGTTTTTTAAATCTTCACCTGGGGATATATATTTTTATTTATTTTTGAGAGAGAGAGAGAGAGAGAGAGAGAGAGAGAGAGAGAGAGAGAGAGAGAGAGAAAGAGAGATATCTTCAGACTGGGGATCGAACCCACAATCTAGGTGTGTACCCTGATGGGAACCTGCAACCAGCTGAACCACCCAGCCAGGGCCAAATGTCTTTTCCAAATTTCTTTGGTGTTGGGTCTGCTTCCCAGAGGCTCTGAAACACTTAAAAAATTCTGCAGGTGATGCTCCCCCTTCCTCCCCAATGTAGGTGTGATAGAAAACCAAGAATTGCAGGCATGAAGAATTTTGTACCCAAAAAAGACAAAACAGCCAAAAACATTGGTAGACATTACACATGAACTCATCAAAGACTTGAAATTCCTCTGGCAAATACATTTCATATTCGGAGGCATATTTATAAATTAAATACGTGACTTTTTTAAAAGTCCCTCCACAAGCAACTCTAAATATCAGGTCTGAATAGGAGATATTCAACTTTAGGGGCATTTTAAGCCTTTTAAAAGCAAAGGAGTACAACAAAGGACCAGACCACAACCAAGGAAAAGCTAATTGTGTACAGGAAATGTCCTGGAAACCTTTGTGCTTATGTCTGATTTTCCTAGGGACCCACCGGGAAGGGCAGGTTTTTATAACTCATCCTTTCATGGATGGTGCCAATTACTTTTCCTAAGTTAATGAAATAGCGCTCAGAGCTGTTGCTTTCCATTTGGAAGTTAACTGCATAGTCCACATGCAATTTTGAGAAACCAAAGTAACAAGAGTTTTTCAAGTCCAGGTGACTTACACTTAGCAGCCAAACCCAAACTGAACTAAATCAAACCAGATTTGCCTTTTCTGCTTATCTAGGCGCTACTCATTTTAGAGGAAGCATTTTATCCAAAGTAGGACAAACTTTAAAGATACTGCACTGTGAAGGCTGTTTTCTTCTTGTTTTAGGTCATTATTGCTACTTTGTCCAGCTATCCTGGAGGGTGGGGGGAGGCGAGAATGAGTTAAGCATTTGTGTTAGCCACTTTCCAGGGTATCAAAGGTCTCATTAAATAGCTAACCACAGTCAGTGCCCTGGGATCCCACGAACATTTTGTTTGACTTAGTGTTTACTCCTAAAATATTTTTCAGGAGATTGGTAAATTCTTTGTGATTAAAGGAGGTAAACTTATAGCTAAACAATCCTCCCTTTTCTGTCTGATAAGACTGAACAATCCTCAGGCCAACTGGTTTTCCAGTGCCTCCTCCAACCACGAATTCTGGTCTCAGAAGTGAGCAAATGAGACAGGTGAGTCTATCACTAATGACACGTTTATAAAGCAAAGTCCTGTCAGTGACTGACTGGAAAGGACAGGTTTTCATAATTTCTTTCCTGCAGAATGCTAACTGCTATTCCTGAGTGCATGAAATACTGGAAGATTATATTTAGAAGCCATTAGAGTCTCTCCCATGATTTTTTGATGGTGACATCATGGCAGCCATTTCTCAGTTGTTATCCAATGTTTTGAGACATTCAGACACAGAAAATGGAGAGGCTTGTTATTGTTAGCATCTCGTTGGTAAACGAGAAGGGAGAGTCAGACAACTGGACCCAGAAACCATTTCTCCAAGGCAGCACTGCCCCTTCGTCACAGTCTCTTCTCCTACTAGTTTTCGCCATAACCGTTTTGGGAACACAATGAGGAAAGGTGATGATGCCCCAAGGTGAACAAAGGTTCTGTGTCTACTTTTCTCACTTTATCTAAAGAAAAGAATTTGCAACCCCTGTTTTACCTAAGTTTAGAAAGTAAATGATTATGGTACCATTCAATTTTCTCATTTCAGATTTTAGAAATGTCTTGACATTTTCACGATACTATTATAAATATTATCAGTCCTGCTGAGAAGACTAATACCAGAGGGTAAACCAAAGCTGCCCGAAAAAAAAAAGAAATTATATGGCTTCAGGAACAGTGCATATCTACTTTGTAAGAGAATAGGAACTGCCAGATAATTCCAAGTCTTGATTTCTTTAAATTTACACAGTACTCCTAGTGTGGACCGCACCATTTTAGCTCTAAATTATTACCTTCTCTGACCCCCCCAAATTGTCTTATACCTGGGATCCTATGTTCTCTACACAAAGGAGTAGTAATTCAAGTAATATCTGGTGAGTGCTATGGTCTGAATGCTTGTGTCCCTCTCAAATTCATATGTTGAAATCCTTATGTTTACTGTGATGGTATTAAAAGGTGAGGGAACTTTGGGAGATAATTGGGTAAGGAGGGCAGAATCATGTGAGGATGCCAACTTTCTAGACTCTGAAGAGAGCCCTCACCCAACCATGCGGGCACCCTGATCTCAGACTTCCAGCCTCTAAAACTGTGAGAAGTAAACTTGGTGTCTTTTTTTTTTTTTTTTTTTTTAAATAAGCTACCCAGTCTATGGTATTTTGTTATAGCAGACTGAATGGATTAAGATAATGAATGACTGAATGGATTAAATTTCCAATTAATTCTTAACCACATCTAGCCTACAAAGCTAGACACAATGATAGTCATGAATATTTCTTCCCCAGGAATCAACCATTTATAGGAGAAAGAAGAGAGTGGAGCACAGCTGGAATGAGAATTGGAAGTTTCACAGACCACTGATAGGAAAGCCATTAGGGGCCCTGTAAGCAGTAAGAAAGAAGGCTCAGCTCTCCAAAGGAACTGCTGAGCTGGGGGATGTCTAAAGGATTCTGATTATGGCACGAGTTAGTCAGAGATAGTGATGTATATTTAAAGCAGGAATGAAGAGCCCAAGGAATGCTCCTTGGCCTTTAGTCTGTTCCTTCCTTTGGTAAATGAGACATGTGATGCTGCCTTGAGAAATAAAGAAAATGGCACAGCACCTTGCAGATGGTGCTATGATATTGTATAATTATACACTTTGCTTTCGAAAATAGTGTCTTTACCTGCATACAGGCGACTTACTGAATGGTAATGAAACCGAGAGCTATAAAGCATGGCAACAAATTGAAATTGAGAAAGAATCATGAACTCTAAAATATTTATGAAGTTTGAAAATAAATGCCAAAGGAGTTGACTATGTGAGTTGATAAGCATTTTATACAATTAAGAGATTTTTCTCAGAGTGAGAGAAGATGGGCCCATAAAGCCCATGGTTCTGACAGCAACTCCTGGTGAATATGAACGACATTCCTCATTGTAAAGATGCCAATCATTCATTTGCTGAGCATCTTCTATGGGCCAGGCATCCTGGAGGCGCTGGGATATGATGATAAGCAAAACAGACATGATTCTTCATGGCATGTATAATTTAGTGAGGAATCTGACTTTTAGCATTTTCTCACAGATACAATTAGAGTTAGGCTAGGGCCTCACAGTCCACTTAATCTAGTCCCTTACATTAATAGGTAAGGACCCCGGGGCGCAGAGGCGTTAAAGGAATTGCTCAAGGTCTTGGAGCTGCTGCTAATAGAAGGGAGAGGAGGCAAGCATTCCCCATTGTCATTTTGGTAATCAATCACAGGGAGAGAAATGGGAGACATTTCACTCACCCAATTTGTTCATTAAAAAATAAGAGGACATAAAGCTTTTTTTCAACTAGAAAAAGAAAAAACACATTACACTTAGTTCAGGGGAAACATGCATAAGAACTAATATCTCTGGGAAAGAACAAGGGAGACAGACCAAGAGAGAGGCAGCCTGACAGGCCCTTTAGCATCTAGTACTTTGTGCCGAGTTACGCTTTCATACATTAAACCCAATAAAAAGTTACGTCCACTGCCTCCATTTAATAGATGAGAAAACCAAGGCTTAAAAAAGGCAAGTAATCTGTTCTAACCAGATTATATCTGTTCATAGCTATAAGTGGTCAGAATTCCCACCTAACTAGTTCTCAGCCATTCCGTCACATTGCCTCCCCGATGAAACCTGACAGATAAAGACTATATCTTAAAGGGTTTAAAGGAAAAGAGATGGAAAAGGAAGACAACACCAAAGAAGAGAGGGGAAGAATACATTTTGCCAGCTCTCATGGTCTGTATCCTCATGTTTACTAAATCAGCACTCTCCAGCTGGAGGTACACCTGATACACCTGAATTCACACAAGGACTTAACACTTTCTCCTATCGCCAGGCCCAGGATCCCTCCCCCCTCCTACTGGCAGCCGACATCTCTCGCCTCTAGAAGCTTCTACTTCTTACAGTCCTTGCCTCCAGTTCTAGTGTTCCATCTAAAAGATACCATTCTCCCTTCTATATGCTAGCTGACCAAAATAGTCTGCTCTTTTAGACAACTGCAGGCACTTTGGAAAACTTGGTATCTTCTACAGACAGACAGTAGCTTGCCAGACATGGCACCATTGCCATGAATACCATCTCTCCACAAGCCCTGCCCTCCTGAAATGGCTTCTTGACAACACTCTCTTAATCCCACCTCTGAAGCAAGAACATTTTCAGTGAGCTATTTGGACTTTATTGGACTACGAGACTCTGTTAAGGACCCAGGCACAAATATAAATGAGATGCTCTGCTTGTCTTGGGTAGGAAAGACAAGAGTGGCTGGCTGACAAGATTTTAAATCCATATCTGTGAGTTTGCACAACAAAGAACAAATGGTGGCTTTGTAGGCCATTATAACACCATTTTAAATTTAGATATGATTTTCATGAATCAACCAACTTAACTTCATAATTACTTTTTTTTTAACTAGGGAACTCCATGAAAGAATTTTCTCTCTGACAAATTGAACAAAAGTCACAT